GAACTTAACTCTGATTTTAAAAGAAATTAAATATAGTTCCTTTTTAACCTCACAATAAAATCTAATACAAGTCACAGAACACCATTAAAAATAACCTATCAGCCTTCTGGTGTTTGTTTGCTGTTAAATTTTCCAAATGTTTTTCTCTCATTGAATTTTCAAGTCAAAGCACAGTTCCTGGTTGCTAGTCTACTTCATCCTCATGATGATGTCACAGTCTTTAAAGCTTCAGTCCTGGATCATTTGTGGTTGGCATCTCAGCTTAGGCATCGTGTGTCGAGTTCATATAGTAATGGGTGCTGTTAGAACCTTTTACAGTTACAGCAGTTTATCTAAATTCTCACTGCAAAGCCAACCTATCAGGAACTTAAGCCAGTCTGACTGCTTAAACTCCTATTTAATATGAGAAATTCTTCAGGGCTTTGAGATGGGCTGTGGAGACAGCTCAGTTGCTATGGCGTTAGATGTACAAGTCTGAGCACCTGAGTGTCATCCCCATGTAAAAGGGCTGGGTGTGGTGGTAGGGATGCAGAGTTAAGGAGATCCTTGGGGTTTGACAGCTAACCAGTCTAGTGTCCTTGGGTTCTCCTAGGTTCCAGTGACTAACTTGTCCCTAAAACCAAGATGGACAGTGGCTGAAGAACAACATCCAAGGTTGATCTCTGGCTTCTACACGCATGTGTGCACACGCACACACCTCCGCACAAGCACACGCATAACAATGTTAATAGAGTTACTTTGAGAATTGCTTGATACCTGCCAGACTCTGCATCTCCATGACCATGTGCTACTGACCCAAACATCTGACTTTCTTCCCGATTACTAACAGTTCCTACCAGCTCTCTGTTTCCATACTTTCAGTTTCTTATTTTCAGCACTTAGTTTGAGAGATGGTATCTTTCTTCCAGTTAAGAATAGTTAAAATCAAGTGTATTTTTACTCTCCTCAACAGTTTATTTTAGAAAATATCTTTGCAAATAAATTTTGCAATTTCTAAGCAGTTTCTGAAAGCAGACAGATCTAAGTTCAAACTGGGTTATGTTTGTCTTGAGTGTTAATTTTGGCTTATGTTGACTTCCAAAATATAATTTATATTATAAGTCTTGCTGGTTTTATGAGATTTCTAGAACACTCAGGAGGGGACAGAGATGGAGACACGATAAACCCCAAAAGATTCTCAGACTGTCATAGTTTTTAGTATCTGCACCTATTCGAATAACTGATGGTTTATCTTTCTTTCTTTATTATGAAAGTTCTTTTTAAAAACTTGCATAACTTAAAAAAATCTTGTACAATACAAAAAGAAAAAGAAAATGTCTCCCTAGTTAACTCCGAGTCACCTCAGCTGAATGTACAATCAGCTCTGTGTTATGGACTTTTTACAGCCACTAAATGATCTCAGAGGTGACTGGTTTCTCTTTTTGCACCTCTTGTTTTACTTCTGTATTCTGGGGTCTGCTTGTCTCACATCTCGACAGCACACTCACAAATGACATGTGTGTCAAGAAATGTGTGACTTGCAGTAATTCTAAACAAAGGATCATCACAAGCAAACTTAGAGCCTATTCTGTAGAGAGTTCCCTGGATCAAAAAGTGTACAGGATTCTGAGATGAATTAGAACTCCCCAAATGACATGCCTAGCTTCTGTCTGTTATCTCTGGGGGTTCTCTAGCTCTGGCCAGAGAAAGGGAGCTTTAGCACAATGGAAAAAGCTAAAACAGAATGAAAACAACAAGAACAAAAAACCCCAAACAACCTCTGGGCTTTGAGAGAGGCTCAACCTAGTGGGCATTAGCTCTGTGTCCTTAGGATGAGTCTCAATTTAAGGGGCAGGAATGTATTTTCACAGGCGTGTTTAGGAAGGCAGAATGTGACGATTCACTAGATTTGTAAACCTTAAAACACTGCCTGACTTTATCGTGTGTTTCTGCTATTGTAACTGTGGTGGGTCAGACTCCAGTTTTCAACCCCAACAACCAGGCAAACAGCTTTTCGAGTTGTTTAGCTAGGTGAGCAGCAGCTGAGGAGGGGCGTCAGGCAGATGTCTAGCGGGAGAAATGGGAGAATAATAATGCTGCAAAAGAAAAGTTATACATAAAAGTTTTTGATACAAGTCAACAAGTTTCATATATGCGATAAAGATTCTATTCTATCTGTCTACCACCTATTCTAGCAGATTTTAACACCATCTACCTCCCACCCCTGACAAGGCAGAACAAAATATGACATAACCTAACATCTTTTTTATTTTCTTGTTTCATGTCGTTTTGGGCTTAATGCCAAATGTGAAAGACCTCAAAATTCTTAGGTTGTTGGCTTCTTAGTATAGCTTAGGAGACACAGGGTGCTCCCAGCTACAGTTCCAAGGTGATTGTTCCCATTGATAGTTTACTGTAGATGAAATGAAAAGCTTTAGCAACATCTGATGGGAAGGAAAGTCAGGGTTATTTTTAGGAGAGTTGTTCCTGGGAGGTTGATCATGCTCCAGTTGATGGCCCCACACACCTGTATGTGAGCAATGTAAATCGGACTCAGTAGGTTTCATACATATATGTGTGTATATATATGATATGCTATGAAGTTAGAAAGGGTAATTTAGGGATGCAGGTGGGGGTGGATCTAGAAGAGTTGGGGGATATGTTGAGGGGTGAATATGATCAAAATACATTGTACATAGGTATGAGATTCTCAAAGAATTTGCAAAATCATATATTAAAAATGTTTAAATAAAGTGCTTTGCATCAGGAAATCAAGGGTGTACATTATTTTTTTAAAATTATTTGTCAACTTAAGAAGTGTGAGGGAAAGTTTGAAGGTTTTTAGTTTTACAAATAAGTGTTTCTTTGGATATTTGGGAGAATGATTTCTAATGAAAAAGTTGCAAATAACATTTTGGTGTATAAAACAAGATTCCATTTGATTTCAGACTCACAAAGAGTAGATTTGTAACCCAGTTTAAATTTTGTTCAGAGCTAAATCTCAGTGTAAGGGATCAAGAACAATCAGAATAATACATTGTAAAGAAACCAGAAACTGGAAAACAAGATCAAAATTAGACTTAAATAACAAAAATCTTGAATAGCAAATAATTTATGCAAAATATGTTACAAAATCTGGGATGCTAAATATTTGATACATGTACCGTGACATTTGTAGTTACATTAAAGTTAATGGTTTACTTTTTCCATTACTTTGCTTCCCGTTTTATTTAAACAAATATTTCTTTACAATTTTGAAATTCTTCCTTCCTGGTGATGTTCTTAAATTTGTTGTGATCAACCTGTGTGAAGCTATATGCATACAGAAAGTGTTTCTTAGGAGAAGATAAAAATTTTGACATCACTTTTCACTTTTTTTTCTCTACCATGTTTGATTGTGTTTGACCTCTGTTAGACTGATGTTTTCTGCCTCTAGTTTTGATGTCATGAATATTAAGTTAAATCATGAAAAAATGCTTCTTTTCACATAGCAGTGATTGACACTTGCAGTTTTATATTCAAACACTGGAAAGAAAAAAAAAAGGATGTGTGATTACCATGGACAAAGTAATGATGCTTCCAATAGTAACCTGTCAGGTAGACAAGAGATACATCATTTCATCTGTGGGAAAACCAGGTTTTCTTAATTTGGTTTGCATTCAGTTTAAGACATAATCATGTAATCAATATGTGATTTGGATTGATGTCTAATATCTCCTGGTTATTGTTTTGGATATTTTGTAGCTAAGTCTTCAAATGAACAACAACATGAACAAGGGAACTCTATACTGTTAGTCTGTTCTGCAGTGAGTTTTCTCCATTGAGCACATCTGTATTGAAAGAACTGGATTTTTAATGTTCTTTCTCAGGTGTGGTACACAATAAGAAAAATTCTGTATTTTTCCTTCGAGATATTCCCTAAATATAGCTTCACCTTCTAAATGAAAACTTGCCTTAAGAACCAGGCACAGTTCGAACTGACTTGTGGTTATTTTTAGATAAAACCACTTTGGGTTAATTAAGAGAAAAAATGCTACTGTACAATTATGCCATATCTTCCCACCTTGGCCTGACAAAAAGGAGATGTAACAGAAGTTTTTCTTTGTCACTGTAGCTGCACCTTTGAAGTGTATCAAAGTCTGTTGCTGTGGTTACGACCTTTGTTTCCAGTGATGTTTGGTCCATGCTTTCCCCTACCCTTAACAATGGTTACTCAAAAGAATGAAATAATGAGTCATTCATTCGGAAATACTTTGTTAAAATATCCCTCTTTATCATTACATTTCACTGCTTAGAAACTAGGCTGTAATTCAAGGCAACAGTTAAGTCTTAGAACTGTTAAAAAATCTGATTTTTTTTCATTTATAAGAAAGACCTGTCTGTGTAATTGAAGAACCTCTTACACGTCTGAACAATTAAAACCTTTTTTTGGTTAATGTATTATTTCTGGAACAGTAGATAAAATTCTATGCAGTAAGCATGATAATGATAAAAATCGTGCATTGTTCGCACAGGACAGATTTCAGAGTCAAGGTTTTTGGGCACAAATGCAGTAACAAAACAGCCCCTACAAAACCGAGTAACTCTCAAGAACACAAGAAATAATGTTTGTTAATTTAAAATTTTAGAAACTGAAAGGTGTAAAGTTTGTAAAGTAAAGCATAATTAAATTATGGTACTGTACATACCAGTTGTTCCTAGGATTGAAACTTTATAATATGAAAAAATACATTAGCGCTGTACAATTTTTACACATAGGTAGGATGAGTTTTGGAAAAAAATGATTTTTTTTCAGGGACATTCTCCGTCAAAAAAATACTGCACAACTTAGCTAGTTACAAAGTATAGACTTGAAACAATTCATGTCTTCATTTATTTCATGAACCAATCTTGGAATTTTGTTTATTTGAACAGGGGATTTTTGTTTTTGTTTTGTTTTTGAGAGTTGCAATGAACAAATTTTCCTCTTTCTGTCGTTGAGGTTACAGTTCGGTAGCAAGCCTGGGCTACCATCAGCTCGGTCAAGCCAGCTGTGGTTTATGGTCACTGATGCGGCCAGCTGACGTGATTGTGCTCAGGTCCAGCTCAGTCTCTAGGTGGCTTTCCATCGTGTCTTCCTGTGCATTCGTTTCAAAGGGCTTATGGGAGAGAAGTTCATGATGAACCCCACAGTAACTTATTGTGGGCTGGTCGTATGCCAGAAAGGTTGACACATTCATTGATAAAGGTATCTGGGAAAAAAACATGAGAAAAGTCAGTTATCAAAGGACAGGCAAGTATCCAGGGCAAGACTTGGAGACTATGAAGTGTGAATCTGACTATCCTTTGTGTTTGTATCTGTGGCTTTGCTGTCCCCACAGTGTCCTGCTCTTGTCCCCATTTTCACAGCAATGAATTCACTATTGAAGTTTGGAAGCTTGAGCAGAGCAGTTTGAATTTTAATTAGAACCTGCAGATAAACTGTAGTCTAAATGGTTCTAACAATAATGAAATATTTCTTCATTGTAAAGCCAAGAAAATGGCTTTCTGTAACTAGTCTGAAATATGTGTTTAAACTAAGAAAAGCATTATTTGGTTACTTATGGAGAAAAAGTGATTCTATAACTTTGTTATGAATCGGTCTCACCTCCCACTTCTTCAACAACCTGTCCCATTGTCCTGCAGGTTTCAGATGCAGAGGGTTCTGATTTCTTATCTGTTCCCAGGTAAGGAGGGTATAGTTAGTTACTTCACATACCTGGCTCTGAAGAGTGTTTCAGCAGAGAACTGTCAAATCATTCTGATTATGCTTACCTACAATCCCTTAATTCTTATTAAGATTTTCCTTGACATGTTAAGCTCTGTAGGTTGGGCTTTCCATCTAAAAGCATAGAGAACAACCAGAAGAAAAGATCTATGACTTCTGCAGAGGTCTACCAATATGCCAAGAATGAAGCTACTTTGAAGGACTAGTGGTCCAGCTGGAGGAAGGGCTCCTTTACTAATCAAAGAAGGCAAAAGCTAACACGTGAGGGCAACAGAAGCAAGTACGATGATTACGGACAGAAGGGAACACAGGTTAGAAATAACAGTGGTCTTAGGTACAACCAGATGCCAAATTCTAGAGAACATTTTTGCTTATTTTCTTGATGAGACAAATTGTGGAAGCACTGAGGAGACTTTAGGCCTGATCTTACTTTGTCTGCTACGGTATCTACACTCTTTAAGGGTCCTCCAAAGCTTTGTGCATTGAAGATGTTTCTGGGAGTTGAGTAGCCTTAGATAGTCATTAGAGAACACTTCCAAATATCAGGTTCTGTGGCTTTATATAGGAAGACAGAGAAGCAGCAGAGGGAGCAGAGGGACACACACAGTCCCTGACTCTTACCATGTGAAGTCTTGGCCATCACCATGTGAAGCCTTGAGACTTTTCACCTCTAGAAACTTTAGTCCAAATAAACCACCTTTATTTGTAACTCAGTGAGTCCCCAGTATTGTGTTATTGGCTCAGAAAACCACTATAATTGCTCATTCACATTGCTGAATTTGTTTGAATGAAAACTTGTACCATTCTTGGTTGGCAAATGGATAAAATGTTTGTGGACATCAGACTAAATGCTGCTCTGATCTCAGCTGAGATTAGAGCACGAAGCCAAGGGTGATAGAATGCCTAGTCTTTATTACCTGCTTCTCTACTTTCCGCCCTCGACTTTCCAGGGACATAACTCCCTCCATCTCCTCTTACTCCATCCCTGACCTCTTACCTACATTCTCTCTCCTTTAGTAAAAAAGTATTTTCCTTATTTCCTCTTTCAGTAAGACTTTTTTTTCTTTGAGATCATTTATGATGAGTATTTAAATGTGTCAAATGCCTAGGTCTCAGTCCCTGGAGATAGAAGTAGAATCCAGTTCACCCAAATGAAACTCCTGTGCAATCTTTCCTAGCTATATGGAATTCTGAAATTTGAAACATGACATTATATGGCACATGAATCGAATATAAATAATCACCCATTAGAAGGCCACACAGAAGATGCATAGCAGTAAAATAAGATACTTATATTTAAAACAAGACTGCCTTTGTTATAGATGAGTTATCTCTGATAACTGAAATGCTATCGTGTAAAAATAATTGTGCAGCAAGAATATATTTAAGCTATAGGAGAAAAACAATAAGAACCATTATTGGGTGCACAGGTTCATATCGACTTCTGGGAAATCAGCCTTAGATGATGTGCTATAGTCATATCTCTGCAGGATGGTAGCTGTTTTTATTTGCCATAGACATGCCCACCTCTTGTATTTACTTGGAATACCCCCTGCTTTGCATGGAATCAAGTTTACCTTGAAGAATTTGGAATGCCAATGGTTACATTTTGTTAAGTAATATGCCATTTTATACTTATTCTCTTTGTGTCTTTGTGTACACACACATTTTCCTGCTACATTTAGTATCTAAAGGCTGCTGATATCTGCAAGGCAAAGCCCTACTTTGAATCATAGTGATTAGGTAGCTAACTCTGATTATGTATTTTAAAAAATCCATTTCTCTTGTTGTTGGGTATATATTATTTGATAAAGTTTATACATGGATAATGTTTCAATGCCAGGGCATGTTTACATTTAATATTGTGTATGTTTGCCTGTGTGGAAGTATGCATGTGTATGTGTGAAAGTGCATATGGAGTTCCAAAGTTGATGTGAAGAACCATTGTTGGTTGCTCTTCCTCCGTATCCATGGAGTCAGGGTCTCTCAACCAAACCTAGAGCTTGCTGATGAAGCCTTGCAAGTTAGCTTGCTCTGGGGATCCTCTGCCTCTACTTTCAGAGTCTGGAGAAACAAGTTGGCTACCATGCCCACCCAACATTTTTGTAGATTTGGGGGGTTCAAAGTGATTTAACTATTGAGTCATTTCTCCAGGTATTTACTTTAAATGTGATTGCTAACCTGTAGCCATATTTTATACCTAATCACCTACAATGTGAAAAATCATTCTTTCTGATTCCTCATGAATAGTAACACACATATTTTGATGGATTTCCTTCTTCATGTCTGACATCATAGGATGCCCTGAACAATTCATTGATGTGTGATACTAGATCCTTAAATGAATCAAAGTCAGATGCAAATTGTGTAATGTACTCACTCTTCAAGCAGTAATACCCCACTCAGCACTTCTGTATACACTACTGTGTATATCAGGTTTTTTTTTTTTGCCAGAAAGAATGACTGTCTTTACCTTTCCATTATGGGTCAGTTGTCTGGGAACACAGCAGATGACCACTTGTGATATTCCCATTGTCTGAAGAGAAGAATCAGAGTAGAAGCAAACCTGTTTCTTTTTCTTTAAATGATCTAAAATACCAGCATGTAAAAGCTCCATAGACTTTTGGTGTCGGGTAGAGCGCTGGATGCAGAGGTTTGGGCAACTACTGAGGCTCTAGCCATCTATTCTGACTTTGGATTCCTCTGGTGGGATGGACTCTTGTACTCCAGTGTGGCTGACGGTTGAGTGGTGGTGGAGAAACTACCAGCTGGCATTAAACAAACATGTACTGTAAGGGTCAGAAGCAATGTATATCAACCCCATCTGCTATCAAGTGCAGCGGAGGCAGCATCTGCCGTTCTTTTGCAGGATTGGCAAGTGTGACCACGTGACCTTCTCCTTTTTCTGTTTTCAGATTAACATGTGCATGATGATCTCTCTCTCTCCCTCCCTTCTCTCTCCCTCATCCCTTTCTCCCTCTCATCTAGCCCCCTTTTCTGTTCCCTCATTCCTGCTCCTTTCTCATCTGGGTCTTCTAATATGCTCTCCCCCATGTTTAAGGTATTCAATAGTGAAGTGCTGGTAAGAAAATAAACAGAATTTCCCTGGTTCCCAAGTAGCCAGTGGAAATGGTTCTAGGAAGGGCAATAGGTTATTTAACTTTAATAAGTCTGTCATTTCCCCAGAACTGCAGCTAGAGTTTCCACAGAATCTTCTCTATAGCATTGAGACTCTTTCTACCCTGTCTTGGATGGAACACTTTCTTTCAATACATTTCAACCTTACTTACAATTATTTCAAGTTTCCTTTAATCCCTTAGGTGGTTACTGTTTTCTAAGTGAGTTAATTATTATTAAGATGTAATTTGTGGAGATTCAGGTACATGTAAACTTACTCTCATCAAGAATCTGAATTAAGGAATCATTAAATGCTATTCTAACGTAGAGTTCTGTCTAGTTACTAAGGCAATTTCCCTTAGGAAAAAAATTCAAGTCTAGTAAGCTAGTATTATTTTGACATCAGTGCCATTTGCCTTACAAGTGGTTTTCCCAACAACTATATCAACATCAATAATATATTCTGTTTAGACAAAGATTATAGTTAAAGTTATTAGTTATTAGTGGTCTTTCCCCAACTCACGTATAATATTAATCCTATATTTGTAAAGGAAAAGCACAACTTTTAAAGTTTCTGAGTTGTGATCAAGAACTCACTGTAGCCTTTATTCTATGTGTGAGATCTGCTTATAAAGATATGCTCATATAAATATTCATATTGTTATAATTTAAGAAAAGCAGCTCTTGAGAGAAAGGCAGCATGTGACAGGTTCAAGCAGAGGTTTTTTTATTGGGGAAGGGGATCATAAAAAGGGGAAAGGGGAGGAGGACAGGCCTCTGGGGACAGGAGCAGCAGGAGAGAGCAGAGTGGGGAGTGAGAGGGAGACAGAGAGAGGGAGAGAAAGAGAGGGATGGGAGGTGGGCAGGGCCCTTTTAAAAGGAACATAGTGAATGTGCACAGGTGGTGCTCTTAGTGGCAGCAGCTGAAGGCGTGTCCTGTCAGAACCTCAAGGACAGGCCAGTACAGATGTCTGAACACTAACACATATATGTTCCTCAAGTTCTAATTAAAAGGCATTTCTGCACGTCCCATGTGATAACAAGTGTTGTTTAAGGCCCCAAATATATGAAGAATAGAAAATGACAGTTCATCATGCAAAAAAAAATAATTAAAAGCCCCTTTTCCCTATGCAGAGTGAACGATGAGAACTGTTTTCCTGTTCAGGGTTATTTCTAAGTGGAGTTTTTAGGAAATATATTCTCCTCTAATTATGTCGGAGCAGAATGCTCACACTGTTAGCGTAGTTCACAGGGGAAACTCTTTGAGTTTTACAAAGTCACACACTCTTTGTCAGGGACTCTTCCTCTATAGGTCTTTGAAGCTACGGCACTTGAGGGCTTGGGCCACTATTGTTTATGTACAGTGAG